CATAGTCATGTATTTATTTATCATGACTCCTTCAAAGTATTCTAAAAAACTTAGCTTTTTTTACTTAGCATAATATCGTACTGTCATGGCAAAGACCTCATCTAAATACACACACATACATATAAAGGCATTCAGTACATATATACAAGATATACCTAAGCCTAAAAATGCCAACATATACATAAAAAGATTTAAAGCTAGAAAAATTAAAAATTAAATCTAGAATTTCACTTTCTACACACTGAAAAACATACAGATTAGAGAACCTATTTCAAGTTTACAGAACTTATTGAATAAACCCAAACAAAATTCCAAGAAATTTATATACTAAAAAAAAAAACCTAATTTAAGCAATCTATCTCCCAGAACATAAAAAACTGTAAATAGAACCGCAAGGAATTATCGAGAATTTGTATCAGTCTTCAATGAAATCTATTAACATTAATCCAAACCTGTTGACCATAAAATAGACAAGCTGAAAAACACGATGAAAGTCAAGCTGAAACCCAGCTGAAAGCCAAGCGAAAAGTCAAGCTGAAAGCTTAATTCAAGCTGATGAAAGTCAAGCTGAAATTCAAGCTAAATTCTATGAATTTTGCAGTGGAAGCCGCTAAAAAAATATTTTAAGGCAATAAAGTGATTCGAAACTTATTTGAATTGGTTTAGCTTTCAGTTTGGCCAGCTTATGAGAAGAATTTTGTATTAATTCCCACTAAAGTACCCATCCTAATCCCATTCCGCAGTTCACACGCGAATAAATGTAGAGCAAGCTCTTTCTCCCTCTCTCTCTCTCTCTCCGTTTTTCACTGTCTTCCTCTTATCTTATCGACAGCCCGCCCTGCCCATAGGGGAGCCACCGAAGCTGACGAGTCAGCACGTGAAGAAACTGATCGAGCTTTATCAATCGCATCCCCGCCTCTGGGATCAGTCGCATCCCGAGTTTCGGGATGTGGATCGTGGCCGGGAGTCGTGGCATCAGATAACCGATGCATGGAGCGCGCATTGCGGCCGTAGCTTCAGCGTAACGGACGTACGCATACGGATCTCGACGCTGTGCCAGCGATTCCTCAAGCAGCGCGAGCGTCTGGCCGCCGAGGGCGAGCTGGAGGATTGCGCCAAGTTCGTGCACTACGATCAGCTGCGCTTCCTGTGCGAGCAGCAGTCGCTGCTCAATCGCCAGGAGCACATTGCGCATGAGAACCGCAAGCTGCTGGAGATCTACGAGCACTATCCCATTCTCTGGCACAATGCCCACAAGCGGCTGCGCTGCACGGAGACGGTGCGAAAGCGACACGAGGCACACCGTGGACTGCAGCTGGCACTGCGAATGTGCGGAGTGAAGCTGTCCGGGATAGCCATGCAGCGACGTCTGCTGTCGCTGCGTAAGCGCTACCGGCTGGAGAAGATCAGGTATCTGCACAGCATCGTGGAAGGCAAGCAGGGGGAGTTCGTATCCAGCTTTGAGCACTATGCGGAAATGGAGTTCCTGCACAAGCACATCGATCCGTATGTGTGTGCGGCCTGTGGCAAAATCTTTGAGAATCTGGTGAGCCACCAGGCCCATGTCCAGGGCAACTGTGAGGAGCAGCCGCTGAAGGAGACACCACCGGCAATGGAACAGGAGTGCCAGCAGCAGCTGGAGAAGGACAAAGAGCCAGAGCAATTGGAATTAGTGGAGCAAGTGCAGCCAGTGGATCAGCCGCTGGAGGAGCTGAGCATGCCTAGCCTGGCTGCTGCGGTGCTCCAGCCCGACTATCCTCGCGAGGAGCTGACAGAGACCTCCTCCGAAGAGAGCCCCAACTCGACGTCGCTGCAGCTGCGTATGCGGCTCAGCGTGGAGCTGACGCACAAGCTCATCGAACTCTATCGCCAGCATCCCAATCTCTGGGATCCCAATCATCTGGACTATCATACAAGGAAGCTGCGCCGCCAGGCTTGGCACAGCATTGCGGCTCAATTGAATGCAGTTAGCGGAGGATCTGCAGCTGGAGCTGTAGCCGGAGCTGCATCTGGAAGACGCTTCAGTTGGCAAATGCTGCATCGCAAGCTCACGGACTATATCAAGTACTATAGGCGGGAGCGCCAGCGCGAGGCTCTGGCTGTGGAGGGCGAGGGCGCGGGCACACGCTGGGGCTTCTACGAGGCGTTCAGCTTCCTGGACGATGTGGTGCCCATCAATCGTGCGCTCCAGAAATCGCTGCAACAGCGCGACAGCAACCTGAAGATCATTCAGGTCTACCAGAGCTACGAGCAGCTGTGGTGCACCACCCACCCGGACTATACGAAGCGCAAGCAACGACTGCGGCATCTGGAATCGCTGTGCACGCGTCTCCAGGAGGAATGCAATCTGCAGATCACCGTGGAACGTCTGAAGAGTCGCCTCATCGAGTTCCGCTGCCAGTACAGGCAGTGCAAGGAGGCGCGGCAGGAGGCACTGAAGCGCGGCGAATCGTGGCTGCCCAGCTACGAGTACTACGCTCCGCTCCAGTTCCTGGAGCTGCACGTCTCGCCCTTCGGCTGCGACCAGTGTTCGGCGAGCTTTAAACGGCGCAGCGATTACCTGCGACATCAGCACAATGTCCATGCGGAGCAGCTGCAGCCGCAGCAGCTGCGTCAGCGACGTCGCACCAAGTGCTCCGGCGGCTCAGCTGTCGCCAATCCGCTGGAGCACATCTGCCACATCTGCGCCATGAAGTTCTCGCTGCGCAGCAGCCTCCAGGCTCACCTGCGACGGCATCTGGGCCAGCGCACGCACTGCTGCAGCGAGTGCCCCAAGAAGTTCTTCAACTCGACCTCGCTGCGCGTGCATCAGCGCAGCCACACCAAGGAGCTGCCCTACGTGTGCGAGCACTGTGCCCGGGGATTCGTGAACGCCAGCAAATTGAATCAGCATGTCAAGCGGCACACGGAGAAGCGGGACTATCCCTGCAATCGCTGCGACAAGGCCTTCTATACGGCCCACGAGCGGGATCGGCATCTGCGCGCCCATCTGAACATCCGGGACAAGGTCTGTCCCTACTGTGGGCGTGCCTTTGTCGTGGGCAGCGCCTACTACGCCCACCTCAATCTGCATCGCGGCGAGAAGCGCTACAGCTGCACCAGCTGCGGGCAGAGATTCGCCCAGTACGCTGGACTCTACAAGCATCGGAAGCGCTGTAAACCTGGCGAAGAGGAGGCAAAATGAATCATTCATTCATGCAGATRATGAGAAGTGAATCATTGAATACTCATTCACGCCCATTTGGAGTCACACTCATTTATTCGTTTAGTATGTAMACACCGCAAGCACTCTTAATATGAGATGATAAGTGAATCAATGAATACTCATTCATTCATTCAAATTCATACTCACTCAAACGATCAGCATGTGCGCTAGCCAAACGTTGAGAGTGAATCATCGAATGTGAATTATTTATTCAGATACGCATTCATATTCAATCAGCTAAGATGATTAACGATGAATCATTAATGCATTAATGCATTCACTTGCTTGATGGTAAAATGATTCACTCATTCACATTTACTCATACTCATTCACTCAGTCTGGGCATATCCAGAAGTCAATAATTTACTAGCTCACATTTATACTCATACTCATTCCATTCATATTTTATAGTTGTAGCTAGCAAATTGTTAATCTACCTATCGCTTCTCGGCCTTATGGCTAAGATCAAAGTGTAGTATCTGTTAATCTACCTGTTTGTTTTTAGTTGTAGTACCTGTAAATTACTCATTCAGTTATTTGTGCCCATTTGATTCGTAATCTCATCTGTTCCTTTTGCTGAAACACTCACTCACAGATTCACTTGACTTGCTCATGAATATACCCATTCCATGCTAATCTTATTTCGTTATAGTTATAGTTTTTGTTGCTTAAGCTATTGTGTTTTATTTGTAGTACCTATTCCAAATACTCATTTGATTCATTAGAAAACTTAAAATATATCCCTCATAATACACGTTTCATTTCTCTTAATTTGGAAAAGTCTTCAAAGTTCATCTTTTTTGTCTCTTTCACGCGTGCAACGCTTACGAATGCAACACAAAGCAGAGAAGAAAAGTAATATATGAAGACGAGCTTCTGTTTGTGTATATACACGGAGCCTGTATTCTCAACCTTAAACGTTTCACTGGCAGCTATATAAACCGACAACGTATTAAAAGAGAAGGCATCATAAATCTGGCTCATATTTCAGTATGTTTTACTAACTGCCTGAACTTGGAAATGAATATGACTTACATATAAATATACATTTACTATATAGTATATACATACATATTCAAATTCAATTAACTCAAATGCTAACAAATGCTTTAAGATGCTCTAAGACAATCGTTTATATTATATGTATATCAAGATGTTTCAAGTCCATATCTACATATATAGGCAAATCGCAATCGAAGATATTTCCTTGATATTATTATTTTTAAAGTGAATGGAATATATAAAAAAAAAATCCATTAAAATAAAGAACGCAATTGCTTCAACTGATTCAATTGGACTTGGCGAAGCGCTTCAGTTGACGCAATCGATAAATATCGTTCGTCGGTGGCACCGATGTCTGCAGCTCATCGTCGCTATCGTCGCCGCCGGGCAGCAGGCGGCGTCGACGGGGCTGCATCGTGGTCGCACTGTGCTGCACACCCGTATACGTGCTGGTGTCCACGATCCAGTGCACCGATTTGGCCAAATCGAAGATCTTGGGCGTTAAATCGTTATCGCCATTCGGTTGTGGAGCCGCTGTAAAAATAGATAAGACATGATCAGCTACTTGGGTCTGTGGCAGTCATTTCAATGTCTGGACACCTACATTCTGGCAAATTGAGGCGCATAAAGATATCGAAGAGCAGCTCCACACTGACAAATGGACCCCGAAAACTATTTGGGGGTGGCAGGGTGGCGCAGAGCGCAGCCAGCGCTGGTGGCTGTGGAAAGACGCCGCCCGCCAGCGGATGGGCGCCGGGATGGGCGCACGACCGCGGCTTGTATGGTATCATCTGGGAAAAATCTGGGCGTGGCAGGGGCTGCGCTGTCTCGCCATCCCCGTCCCCGTCGCTATTCCCAGCCGCAGAGCCCACCTTATTCAAAATGATGCCGACGTTCTATAAAGTTGAGCAGAGGAAGGCTATAGAATCCGTTTGTCAATGGAAACAATAAATCAGCTTTACCTCAGCATAGCCAATGGACTTGAGCTCGGTGCTGGTGCAAGGATATAGATCAAGGAACTTGTAGCGATCCACCAGCTGGGCCGTTTCTTTGCCTTCGTACTCTTTCAGCTGAGAGGGAATTACAGAGAAATATGTTATAATAACTATATATATTTGAATATTCATAGTCGCACTCACATTTTCAAAGACCGCACTGCGTCTTCGCTCCACTTTGACAATGCTGGACAGATCGCCGATGTTCGACTCGAATTCGAGAAAACGATTCCAGACTTCCACACTCTTGTGGGGCGACAGACCGCCGGAGCTCAGGACACGCTCGAATAGCACACGCGTGTTGTTGTCCTCGTTCAAGTGGGAGAGGTAGTCGATGTAGCACATCACGTACTCGGGACTGCCGCCGAATCGTTTCAGGCCCAGCTCGAAGATGCGAAATGCAATCTCCTTATCCTTGGAACAGTAGTACTCCATTAAAGCGGCCGCCACAAATATGTGATAGCGCGACCGAACGTCCTCGCGGGCTTTCTTAAAAATGCTACGCGCCGATTTGATGCCCTCAGCGCGACGAGCGAACTTCATATACTGCACATAAACCTGGATGTACGGAATGTGATATATATATTAGTTATATAAATTGGCATATATATTAGTAATATTAGATAAATTAATGAGCTGAAATATCATCAATAAATGGGATAGATACATAAGAGGGAATAAAGTACGTAAATATATTAAAAGACGAAGCTAGCCTGAAAAAAATTAATAATCTTTGCATTATATAAAATATGCTACAAAATACACACAAAGCAGAAGCATTGTAAAAGCCCCAAAAGTTAACCATATGTAAGCCAGGTCTATGACTATAGAATGATTTAAGAGATACATATAGCTCTATCAAATCATTCTATAGTCCCTTAAGGTCTAACCAAATTATGGAACATAAGCGATACTTAATTCTAGAATTCTAATGATAGAGAGAAGCTTAGCCATGGCTATAGCTAAAATTATACTAATTATACAATATTGGTAATGTAAAATTATTAATTTTTACTCTACCCATACCTTGTCTACAAATAATATACAATTACAATATGGGCAAATGCTCTATAGATATATCAATATGAAGATGATTAATGTGAAACAGCGATAACCTATTCGCATTATTAGCTCTATTGCTGCTATATACATAATTAATATAATTTGCATTACAAATGCTCAAGCAGCGATATCAGCAATCAAATCGCTTCCTATTGCCTTACCAACGTGGGATCGATGTCCGGCAGGGTGAGCAGCTTGTTGTACATGGTGTGCACCTTCTCGTACTTGAGTCGACCCTCCTCGAAGTCCGCGTAGGCGAAATAGAGCAGAGCATTGCGATTGAGCACACCATTGATGGAGCGTTCCAGTATGTTGGCGCATTCGTCTGCAAAGATCTTAGCTGCTTGCACATCCTGCATGGAAGGAATATGTTAGAAATGCATATATGTCAATTGATTGATATAGTTTATATATAGAGTTATAGTTGTATTAAGATTATTTTATACGTTTTGGTCGGGTCATGTTGAGTAAAACGCGTGCGGCCAAAGCCAAGGGCAAAGCGGCAAGTACACAATGGAGTACGAAAGGAAAGAAAAAGCTATTTGTTTTTCGGTTGCCACGTGCCACTTTACCCAAGGGGCGACACTTCACATAGAGGCAACAAAGAGACAGAATTTTGATTTTTTGCTTTGTTTCTATTTGCAACATTTGCGACAAATTGCAGCATCTGTTGATTATTGTGTTCAATATACGTCTACGCACGCCTTTCTCGGTGAGGGCGCGTGCACTGGTGTCCAGGAATTGCGATGCCTGATGCCAAACAGCTGGATGATGTGTCAAAACCAGCAAACACTGCTCTGTGGCAAACATCACGCGTCGAGTGACGAGCGCCGTGTCCTCTGTGCGCAAAGGATTTGACTTCTCATAGGTAATGAAACGTTTCCACAGCTCCACCTGTTTAGTTTCTTCTTTGGTGAGTGTCGGTGGCACAGCGGGCAGATTGCGATTGAGCCCTTTTGTATGAAATTCCAACTCTTTCGCCACACGACGAGCGTTCATGTAGTCCCTAAGGAGGATAGAGATCGAGCATTAAGATTTGATAGTAATGCATTCATTAGTATAGCCATCGACGCACTTGGACCGTTCTAAGCTCATTTTCTCTGATATTATCGGATTGATGTTCTGCTCAAAAGCAATATAATCTTTCCAAAGCTGCTCAATGCCCACAATGGGCGTCACCACCGCCTTTTGATAGACACGCCGAACAGCTGTGATCTTTTGATTCTCCGCATAGTTGCCCACAGCTTCCACACCACGCAAAAAGTAAATATAATCCTGCCAAATGCTAAACGAATGCAGGTCCATGCCAATCTTTTCCAAAGCAAAATCATATGCTTGAGCCATTTTTTCTCTGCAAAGAGAGATAACGAAGATTAACTTGTGGAACTGTAAAGTTGAAATGTATTAGAGCTTACTTGTGGGTACTGAGACCCGCTTTGGTCTCTTTGACATAGGTCAGGTAGAGTTTCCACAGATCAATGTTGAGAATTTTGACCAGACAACGCTGGAAGAGCTTCTCCACTCTCTCATAGTATCGGCTGCGCATCTCCATTTCGATATAGAGCTTCCAGTAGCGCGCTGTTGTGGGAAAAACATTCACCAGGGATTCGTAGAGGCTGCGTACCTCGTGGATGGGTCGAGTCTGTGCCTCGCGAAGCATCACGGACCACGATTCGATGTCGTATGGCCGCAGCTCGACGACTTGCTGGGCGCGCACCAATCGTTCCATGCCCCATTCCTGCATAGATATTGTTGGTACATTAGTTTAAGCTACATAAATTGATTTATTTGTCCACTTACTATATCAATTTTAATTAAATCCCTTGCAGATGTCATGGTGACAATTTAGACTTTTATTTTTTTTAGATGCCGGCGTTTTAAGCTTGCTTCGATAGCTAGCTTCAATTAGCACTATACACTATACAAATTCTTACTTCAGTATAATGATATCCAATTATTTTCTGTATGTCATACTTTCCTAATGGAAATATGTCAAAATTTCTTACAATAAATATAATGCGGCTTCCTAAAATCCTAAAACTAAGGTGTTGTAGCGCGCCGAACTAGTTCAGGTTGGTGAACTTTGATTTTGCCACAGCTACAAATGCGGTTAAATTATGTATGGATATATACAGCAATTTAATTTTTTATTATAATATCCCAATCAATGCCATAATAATATAAATATGTTATACACAAAATAAATAAAAAATTCTGATGATCACCATGCAACCAAGCAAATGAGCTACAAAAAGGAACTACAAACAAATGAACTGCAGAACTAACGCAGATGCTCGAAATTGCGCAATATTTCGATAAGTGCGTCATAACACCGATTAATTCAATGCTTCGATAATTTTTATTACCTCCCTTTTTAAAAAATCAATCACCTCACTATCCAATGTTAATTGAAATGCTGTTAAATTAAATATAGCTCGCATAAGAAAACATTTCCACATATTTTGCGCAATATTCTATTGCTAATGCAAGCATGTTAGGAAAACAGCTGTTGCATTTCATATATGGCGGGAACTCAGTACGCACACGTTATAAAAATGTGATGTGCTGCCATACTGCTAGAGCAAATCTATCGATTTGCATATCAAGTTGGAAGTGTATCGATTTCCAGCGATGCATCGAAAGAAAATATCAAATAACAAAACCAAACGAAACAATCAAGCGTGGCAATCAAACGAAACGAAACGCATTTAACTGCAGACATACAATGCAAATAAGAAATTAACTAAGAATATTTCAAATAGTAAAATCTGAAAATTGCGGAACAGCCGTTAAATAAAAATGGCTGTGAACGTCAAGTGATAAATAAAAAAAATAAATTATGCACTAATTGCAAGTGACAGTTTTAACTGCCGAACGGAGAAAGAGAGAGTGTACAAAAACACATACACATACTTACACACACATACAAACAAACAAACAAATACACACGGATACAACCAGCTGTTGTGTTGAACAACGACAAAAAGAGGTTAACAATAGCGGTACATTTATTTGCTTGGTAAGCAATCAATACTGTTTATTTGCGCTTATTTGTTTTGCTATTACACACATATACACTTACTCATACATATCTATATATTGTTACGCTTTCAATTGTTTCATTAATTATGCGATTGAAATGCATTTGAATAAATTATTCAATGGCTGCAATCATTGTTCATTTATTTCAAGTCCAACACCGAGTTGAGGTGCCCGCTGCCAGTTTCCTGTTGATGGACTTATGTGTGCCTAATTGTTGTTTTTGTTTGTGCTTGTGTGTGTTTGTTTCCTGCGTAGCGCCCGCAGTTTATTGACCGTGCAAAGCAAAAAAAAAAAAAGAACATTAATACATACATACGTATGTGTATTAAGTGCGCACTGGCTGTCTTTGCCTGTGAGTGTCCATGTGTGTGTGTTTGAGTGATAAGGCATAATAAGTGTGTCACACAGACACAGCGACTAAAACACGGCTTTTGTGTCAAAGTGGGGCAAAAACCTTTGCTGATTGTGATTGTATTTGCTTATGAACAAATACATGTAATGTCAAATACGTACGTGAGTGTGTGTATGTGTGCGTGTGTGTGAAAGGAAGAACGCTCACGTATGCATGCCTAATACCAGCACACATACACACTGCCATGCACTTAGCTGTCAGTGTCATTTGACGAAACTTGCTCTCGCTCTCGCTCGCTCTCAAGCGCGTTCACTTTCTTGCCTGTCTTGTCTCCTTGTTGCTCTCTATACTGGCTGCTCGTTGCACATGATGACAGCTTTTAACCGTTGTTTTAATTGTGTGCATAGTTTTAAGGCATATAAGTGGCCATTGCCTACATTCAGGCGCAACATACGCCACCATAGACGCGAACTGTATGTATTTATGTACATATGTATATGTATGTATGTATATTTGCATGCGCATGCATGTGTACGCATGTGGTTAGCGGCTTCTCCTCTCCCCCCACTTCCCTCAGCCACCACGCTTGTCAGTGCGAGCAAATAAACATGGCAATTACTCGAAATGGTTACAGCTACGCACACACAAACACACACACACACACGCATACACACACTTAACTAGCAGCGCCTCCTGGCGGATTTGTACAAAGAGCTTGGGGTTCTTCTTGTTGCTTTTTTTAACTAACCGCCCTACCGCCGCTCCACCGTTTTCGCCCGGTCGCCTCGTTAAGGGGCAGCGCAAATTACTTGCAGTTTTTAATGGCTCGTCTGCAGCAATTACTCATATAATTTCCACAAAGTAGAACACTGCCGATTCGCGACAAGCGACAGAGGGAAGCGATGCCGGGGGCATGATTTCTTTGCTGATTGATTAACAAATCGCCAAACCGAAACTGGCAAACGACAGTTCAACAATAGAACGTGCCACACTGCCACATTGCCACGTTCAGCGGCTACATTGTTCACTTTATTTTCCACAAACATACATATGTATGTATATATTTGAATGTCTGGAGCCTTTAGCATTGCATGCTTTCATATCATCATCGAAATCCTAAATTAATCATTCAATCGCATTAGTTGCCCTACAATTCTATATAACTTATACGTATGAATGTATATATGAAGTACACTGGCACGATGGGTCTTACTCAAGTGCTCACAGCCGTAATCAATCATTAAATGTTGACTTATACATGTTAAGTCTAACATGTTAACTTTAGTGCTAGCTTGTGGACTAACAAAATGTTAAGAGTTGCACTAAATACAACTATTAAGATTTGTTTTCTATTTATTTAAGTAGAGCATTCTAACTGATCTTACTGTTAACAATTGAATGAGAAAGATAACTGTTAACATAAATGTAAACCAACATGTTAGCTATCCTTTAGTTATAACAGTGCTGTTAAAATCTATATATAGTTACTAGAAACATTTTCAACTCAAATGTACGCAAATAATTGTTAAAGTACTGCTGTCACTGGAAGTAGAATGCTGTAAATGTCAACACAATGTTTACTCAACTGTTAACAGCATTAAAGCAATTCAGTTAATGTGAGTTTAACCTCAAAAACTGAATGCTTGAACATATAAGAAGCGAATAATTGTCATATACAAAAAGTTATCAGAACTTATATTTATATAAATATTGACTCAAGGCCCTAATGAAGCGCGAATGTAACACGCACAGCGCGCTTTCCTATTATATTTTACATATATATACATACACGCATATATATACATAGTAATGTCTTTAAAGTGTAATTAGAGTCGATTTTGAAATACCAAATGAAATTTCATTCGCTTGTTATCAGCTGTTGGCTCAATTAAGTCGAGGCCAACGATTGATTGAAACGCCTGCTCGGGATCGCGCACTTCAAAGTTCTCGGACACAACACAAACATGTATGTGTATATATACACTTGTATATAGCAGATCGGGCATTACCTAACGATTCATAGTAGCGCAACTGAAGTGCAGAATTGCCCAAACGTTAAATTTGCTTTTTATGTATAGCTGCTGTTGTGTTTGTTGACAATATTTGTTTTGCATTTGAATAACATTGTTTGGCTTATTGTTGCTGACGCCACTAACATGCAAATCGGCCCAGTAACGGAGTGGGGCCTATAGCGATTGGGATTGGAGGATGTACCAGTTACAATAGTTAACGACATGAAAACGACTAATTTGACTATTGGCAACAGCACAGGCTGAACACGCCCTAGACAACGGCTCGTATACCCAGTACTTGGATAAAGCATATCCCAGAAGTCTATCCACATTGCCAAGTCTAGTAATACCATATACTACTATATATTTACTATATTTTAGTATCTGAAAGAAACCATTATTTACAGACGTCACATATGAAGACTTCCCCTACATCTATTGGTAGCATGTTCTGAAAACACATCCAAATGACTATTTGATTACTCTAGGTGAATCCTAGCTAAAGCATTATTATTGATTTTTCGATAACATCATCTAAATCGTTAATGAAAATCAATCGAGCTTAACTAGGCGGAACAAACCTTATCGTACATTCATAAAGTGAGTCGCGTTTCTTTGATGATACAAAGGTCGCTTGATTTCTCATTTCGATAAATATCGATTAAAAACTATGCCTTGCTTATGAGCTTGTACTATGATTGTCGTATAGATGTTAATATCAGGTTTACATAGTATCAAGTAGCCAAGCAATTACAGCCCAAAGAAATTGTGGCCCGGAGGCGTCTGACTGCTTGGCATGGAGGTTCCCTCCAACCCAATCGCCCCATTGCCAACTGACGTGATAACAAATAACCGCAAATTGTTGCCAGACGGAAATACTGATTTTTGTTTTGTATCCAATCAATGTATAGACAAATGTTTGTACATAATTTCAAGGGACCCCGCTCCAACCCTTGGAACGTGATGAGGCCCACCCCACCTACTGCTCCCCGATGGCACTCTGCACTCCTGCTTGACTTAGGCAACTTAAGGCTATGATTAGTTGTTCCATCAATGTCAAGTCTGTAGTTGGCTTCGTTGCCTGCGACCAAACGGTTGAGCACGCGCTCGATTCTCTCTAGATTACAAGCATACCTACATATATAGAGTGTAACAGTATATAGCACATAATACATAGTTCCATGTCCGACTTGGGTGTTGTGGGTCAGCCGCTGCGTGTGGGCTGTAAATTTGAGCCTCGCCTGAGCATGCGACGCATCTACAACAAGAAATGCTTTCGCGTCGAGCGCTATCAGCATGAGGTGGCCAATCATTATCGCGACATCCAGCTGCAACAGAGCGCCACGTGGCAGCACAAACAGCAGCCAGGCGACCGTCACCAGTTGCCCCACAGGCAACAGCAGCCAAAGTATCGCCCACGCACTCGACTACGTCCGCTGGCTCCAATAACCGTCAGCACTTCTAGTGTCCAATTTCGTTGCGAACTACCCATCCATGTGCAATACTATCCCAGGTGGGTGTGTGTGTGTGTGTGTGTGGGTGGGTGTTGGGCTGACTGGCTATATACAAATTGTGTAAGCATGTAGCTTTATAGACTCGTACAGCAAACTCTGGTGCTATCATAACCATAACGGCATTGCGATTGACGTGAAATTTCCGACACATCTTCAGCTTGAGTTTGCACCACCCGACCCAACTATCCAAAGCGCCCAACAGCCTCCCCCGCCCAACAACAGATCCGACCCTTGACCGCCTAGCCTGACGTCAGTGACAGCGACTTGATAAGGCATATTGTGTGGTTTTTTCGCTTGGTGGGCTCGCCAGTTAGTTGACAATTGCCCACTTGGGCTTTTCCGCATGCAAATGCAGATAGGGAAAAAATAGAGCTTACGCACATTCACTTGGGAACTTTATCTAGCGGGATTATGTCATATATTAAGCGTTAGGTCGGTCGCCTCATCTCTTATCAATTGGTTCTATATAGACAAATTATAAGGGAATGTCCCTGTTAATAATCCATCAGCTGGGCTAATCAAAATACACCTGCTAAACAGAGAGAAATGAGGAGAGAAACGCCCTTTTCTCTGGCCACATAAACTAGAGTTTATTTATTGACATTTAATTATACCCTGGGCTTACATATTGCTGGGAAGGAACATAAAGTGTATCCCATAAAAACCGTGGACGTTAGCATTGAGTTGGGGCAGAGATAATTTGGTTCGGGTAAAATGAATGTTAAGGAATATTATAATACCAGCTAATATAGGTATATTTTTTTATGTATCACTGATGGCTCAGACCTTCGACTAGAGACAGACGTATAAGTGTCAAAATCAGCATCCGAGGACTATGCAGTAGATAATCACTGGTACTAAATGAAAGAAAACTAAATACATTAAGTATTATCTTACCAGACTGTGGCTTTAAGTCTTACGACTTAAGCTTCTCAGCCCAGAGGTCTGGCTGGTAGCTTAGGTTGAGTCACTTGACATATTTGTTATTTGCTTAATTCACTGAGTTCAAATCCGTCTGGGTTCTCTATTAAAGAATGTATAGAGACATTGATTTTCTCGTAGCTGCTGGGATGTGGCATTTGCATTTCTTATTCACGTAATCGCTCGCAGAGCCAAAGAGCTTAGATGGCGAATAAGCAAGTACAGTCCCATCAATCATATTGCTTTGCTTTCATTTTCATTTTCTATTGATTTTATGAAACAAGCAGCTTTAGTATTCGGTTGAGCCCCTTTGCACAAAGCTAACTCCGCCATGGGTTCACAACGAATGCCGCATCATCAGAAAACAAAAATATGAAGAAAGGAAACATACAAGAAAAAGGAGCCGCTTCCGCATCGCACTTAACCTCACTTGTTGACATTGCCTATATTAACGATAACGATAACGATAAGTAAATAATAGTCAAGTGGAGCTGGGCGGTGGAAATCGTTATTTGATTATATTAGAGCCAGGCCGAGACCCATCAACTGACCCTCGGTCTGCAGCTCGTTTTGCTTTATTATCATATTAGCCAGACCCTTTCACTGACCCCACTGGCCTCACCCTCCCACACTTTGTTTACCTAGTTCATTGTTGTTTGTCTGTTTGCTTTGTGTTCGTACGAGTGAATACGTTTAATGCTTGGCATTGTTGTAATTAATGTTTACATCAGTCCTAGTCGCTAACCCGCTTGCCTAATTACAGATCGGGCATTACGTATGCGCCCCGTGGCCGGCAAACAATTTGCTCGGCGTTGCCACCCGTCGAAATCTACAACGATACAGTGCAGCGTATCAGAAGCGCCCAAAACTGCGACCAACTGAGGGCGTTCGTACAGCGGCAGCTCAACTGACGCAGTGGCGCCGCCAAAAGGGGCCGTTTACCACCTGAAAGGGGCACGAGGACAAGAGCCAATGATGGCAGCCAAGGCAGCGCACGCAGCAGCAGCAGTCGCAGCAGCAGCAGCAACAATTATGAGCAGCATGTGCTAAATATTAATACAAGGGAAAGCCTACAACGGCAGCAGCAGCAGCAGCAGAAGCAGCAGGCGCAGCAGAGGCAGCGACGTCGACGCATAGATCTGTACACGTATTTGCAGTTGGCGAGCGGCTACTACGAACGGGGGTTGCAAGCAAATATCAAGTACCTGCAATCGATTGGCCAACGTAATGCGATAAAGCAACAGCAACAGCAGCAGCAGCAGCAGCAGCGCCACAAGCAACGACGTCACTCATTGGAAGCCTGGCCGCGACGGCAGCAAGCTGCAGTCGAGCAACCGCAGCAGTTGAGCAGGTTTTTGAATAGTTTGCAGCAGGGTGAGCGTTGCCAGACATCAGTGGAGGACCAGGGCTCGAGCACAGACGCCATTCGAGTGCACATAACGGCCGGGCAGCGCAACGTAACGGACATGTGCGATTTTGCCAGGCAGAGTGGTGAAGATAACAGCAACAATAAAAGCAGCAACAACAACAACAGCAGCAGCAGCAGCAGCAGCAATAATAGTTTTCACGTGTCGGCCATCGATCAACAGCAACAGCATCGTAAGCTGTATGAAATAATCGATAACTTGAGCCAACTGCGTTTGTGCGATAGCAGTCTGCCGCTCATAACGCTTACCGACTGTACGCAACAGGTGGCGCTGTATGGCGGTAGCTTTGAAATAGCCGGCAGTTGTCCAATGCAAATACCCAACGAAGCCAGACCACCAACATAATAGAATACTCGAAAACAGCAGCAACATCAACACAAACAACAACAAGAACAACAACAAGACGAACATCAACAATAACAACAAGTGCAATTAGTTGCCAGAACAAACAACAAAGCAAACAAACAAACGAGCTGCAAAATATATTCTGGAACAAAGCAAAGCAGCGTGCACGTCATCGGAAATCATTTCGTTTTGTTTCGTTTTTCATCAATTTTTACTTTTTTTTTGCGTGTGTTTTTATGTGCAAACAACAACGAACAACAACAGCGACAACAGCAGTTGTAGGCAGCTTATAACAAAAACATATATATACATATATATATATAACGGCTTTTAAGCCCAAACTATTACGTCGTACGAACAATGGTTGCGGCTGTTGCCGACGTACTAACAGCAGCAGCAGCAACAACAGCAACAGCAACTACAACGCCGGCGTTAGCAGCAACAGCGACGTTAGCGAACGGCAATAGCAGCGACGCTCAATTTGCAGCATTAACGGTCGCAAGTGCCAGCGGTTCACAAGCAGCGACCTCCGATTCAAATAGCAAGAATAACAGCTGCAACAACAACAACAACACCAACACCAACAACAGCAACGGCAATCGCAACAGCATCAGTATTCATATTGATAAGCAAGACGACAACAACAGCAGCAAGAACACCAACAACACCAACAATACCCACAACACCAACACTAACAACAACAACATGTCCGATGCAAAYGTTGCCGATGCCGCCAAAGCAACTGGCACAACAGCAACACCAACAACGCCCACAACAACAACAACATTAACAGCTGCAGCAACAACAAAAAGTGCCGTTAGCCAACGCAATGTGGACATCAAAATTGAAAAGTCAAGCAACATGGAAGCCGCCACACAGCAGCTAAGCAAAAAGGTGCTCAAACTCGATTTGGGCGCCAAAAATTTGGATGAATATTCGCTGAAATCGCCAAAATCACCCATTGCAGGTAAGTTTCATATGTGTGCATAAACGTAAATAAAAGAGAACAACCAAAAGGCGAGCCCCACCTAAAACAGATAAGTTCTTAGTAACAAAAAAAATTGTATACATATATAAAAAACAAACAAACAAACAAACAGGGTAGCCCAACCCAATAAAAAATTAATTTTAAATACTCACATGAGCAACAAGCTGTACAGTGAAGACTATATAAGCCGAAATACAGAAATACAGAAATACATATTGAAAGTAGATCTGAAAAATGACTGAAAACATTTCAAGTTTCCAGTTGCAGTTGAAAAGTTCATTCGAAATAAGTAGCTGAAAAGCTAAGCTAAAAATAACTTACATATTTATATTACACTAAAGTAAGAGCCTGTCCAAAAGTTCATAAAAAAAAATAAGAAAAAAAACGTTGTAAGCTATATTGATTTATAGCCCAGACAACTACTAATTACAATGCTAATGTACAAACTAACAAAGTGAAAAGAAAAGAAAAAAAAAACAAAACAAGCTGAAAATACTTTCATTTTTCTTAGACTTTTTCATGTGCCTCGTAAAGTTCATGTTAAAGAAGGCGCAGCCATCAGGAGTTCAACTTACTAAGAGTACAGGTTATGTACAAATGTAAGCTTTAACAAAGTATTTCAAACATTTATCCATGCTATATAGAATATAGAATTATATATCGATAATTAAAATATTGTCGAACATCTTTATAGTGCTTAAAATGTCAAATTTGTCATGAGATGACAGAGTAAAGAACAGCTATAACTACAACAGCAACAACTTGAATAGCTATGCCTCATACGAAGGCAAATGTAAGCTTAGGCTCATACACTTATAAACTAAATAAATATACCTATATGCCTATATATGCCTAATTTAATGGAAGCCGATTTCACAGCATTTCAATTAATGGTGATGCTTGAAATGACTATTAGGCAATTGCTACTGTAGCTGCAGGGAGGGTACTGGAATGTCATGCGGCTTGAATTGATATTTCCATGAAAACTGATCTAAAACAAACAAACAATCACACACACACACAGATGATATAAACACACACACATACACACATATACCTATGCTATATATACATATGCTATGTTTATATATATTTTTTTTTTTCGTATAGCTGCGTCTGGCCACAAGCCGCATGCGAAAATTAATCTGAGCAACAGAAGCCTCGACTTGAGGTCTTTCGGTTAACTACAAACTGTAGACAGTGTCCATTTATGTATTTATTAATTTAGATACTCTGCAAGCCATAACACGCTGAGCATATCGTTACTGACTAATTGAATGTGACAGTTGGAAAAAAGTTAACGCGTATAAAATATTAATCTATCAATTTCAATTAGGTTTTATAGCCGAATAGTGAATGAAGGTTAAATGATAAATATATGTATGTGCTCATTTATTATACACATATCGATATATATCAATTTTGAGTCTTTATTACTTATAGCAAAGCTCGAAGTCTTGAAAAGCTAGCGATACCCATATTGGTTTGAGGTCTTAATCCAAATTAACGTAACAAACTAGACGATATAAGCAAATCGATAAATATCGATTGAAGTCTTAATAGGTTTAATAAATAGAGATAGAAAGAGGCAGAGAGAGAGAGAGAGGGAGAGAGAGAGAGTAAGAGACAGAGAGCGAGAGACAGCTATTGTTTAAGGATTATGCTGAAATATAGAAATATATTTTAAAGCTGTTTTTTACTATCGATGAAAATCGATTTATTTATTTCAATTGCTTAAATTGAAATTGATATTTCGAATAGCTAGAGAGTTTAGTCTATAGCATCTACTTAAGTATATACAACTATAGAGCTCTGCTCTATTTATATTTTAAGACTAGCATAGACCAAGCATAGCTTAAAGATTATTAGAGTTCCATAAGTCATATCAAATTAGAATTTTAGACTCATTTGATATAACTTACTATCGAGCTGGCCTGAAGATCTAAGACTAGAGTCTTTTATCAACGCAATTTCAACTACATAAGACAGCAATAGGGAAATACTTAGCAAATAGATCTAATTATGGGTAACTATTAATCGGGCACTGCCGGCTAGATCAAGCTCGGGCTTGTTTTAACGATCGTGTTGCCTTATCGCAATTATTATTACTAATATAAAAATGATGCATATATTTATTCACAGCACGTTTGCCGCATCAAACATCATTGACGTCATCGGTGGACGTTGAGGATCGCAAGACATTACGAGAGGCCTTATATCAGGGTATATTTCATCGACATCGCCGCACCATATTCGCGGTGGGCAGCTTTCTGCGAATGCTACGAAGCCGTAACTCCCAGTACAATACCATTCGAAGCTCGTCGGAGGGCGAGGATATCGATGAGGTTAGATAAGAATATATATATACATATATATGTATTTGAATAAATATATACATATATACTATTATAATGCTATATGCATAATCATGCCTAATCTGTCATGCATCATAATGTGTAGTGTAACGGCCAGAGACAACAACTAAACACAACAACAACAGCTACAACAACAACAACAGCAACAACAACCACTTGAACATCTTGAATAACAACAACAACAACGACAATCTGGATTATTATTATGGAATCTGCTTTTTAGATGGAACGTAGTGCCAGCCAGTCGCAGATCTTGTCGTACTCCATTTTCGTCAACA